TAGAACAGACAACGACTTTGAGCTGTGTTTTTTTCTATTCAATAAGTATTATAAGGAGCGAGGAGTGAAACACATCTCACAATCAGGTTAACGTCTCAATAAACTACTTAGCTGAATGTTGTATAGGATCTCATTTTTCTACGGGTAAGATGCATATTGAATAATTTAGGTCTACTAAAGACATTCAAAATGGAGACAATCAATATAACTATCTATTCGATAAACATGTTCAGGGCCCCAGAAGAAAGGTGCAGTGGTCATCCATATGACTCCAACATGCAAAAGATATTTGACTGCATTGCTTATGCTCACATTAAGAGGAACAAATTAGATTCAAGAGCTTTGAAATGTATTTAATTGGATATCTTGGCAGGCATTTTAAATGTTGGTCAATAGAGAGGACTTTATTGAGAAACAATTGTTAGATTTAATTTTGAACTATGGCTCAAAACAATATAGTTAATCTAAATTGGAGATTGCAACTTTACTGGGGCAGCCCGAATTTTGAAATTCTTGAAAATATTGATCAAAAGTCAATTGTGGACCTAACTATTGATGAAACAAAAATAAGAGCATTTGGTTTGGCGAAGGGAAAACCTATGCATATGGTTTGAGGGCTATCAAGGTATGCACAAGTTAATGTTATTTCTTATGAATTTGTGGATGGTTTTTCATTAGATGAAGATCAAAGTTCTTATAAAGAGGCCATGAAAAGTGCAAAAAAAGGGCAATAAATAATGAATGAAGAGCCGATCTCTTGCAAGAAGAATAACATTTGGGATTTGATATATAAACTAAAAAACATGATGTTTGCTAGCTATAAATGGTCAGACGAGAAGAATGATGTAATTCTTTAAGTAGAAAAGCTATGATTTAAAGCTAGGCTTACAAAAAAAGGGTTTTACACAAGAAAGAGGTGTAAATTGAATTATGAAGCATACATCTAGACATATGCTTCTTGTTATGGTAGGACAATTTTACATGCATCTTAGCAAATGAATTTTAAAACATTATTCCTGCATGAAGGAGGCTGTTTACTTGTATCAACCTAAAGGTTTTACTAAAATTGAAACTAATTTTGATGTCTACCAAAAAGATCATTGTATGAGTTTAAAGAATCTCCAAGAATATTGTAAAAAAGATTTAACTAATGCATGCTTGATATCGGCTTCACTCATTGCAATTATGATTCTTATGTGTATATGAAATATTAAAAGATTAGTGATACTATCGATCTTTTACTCTCAATTGATGATATATCACTTGCAATAATTGTTTCAAAAGAAATCACAAGATTGAAGGCTTTTCTTTAGATGAAGTTCTAAAAAATAACTTGGTATGCCAAGAAAATTCTTGGAGTGGAGATCATAGAGATATAAAAAATAATGCTTGTTATTCTTATAAGGAATATACATCAAGAAGATTATTGATAGGTTTGGTATGACAGCTTCTAAACCAGTTCGACCTCTAGCACAACATTTTAAGTTGAGTAAGGATCAACCACCAAGTTATGATAAGGAAAGATCATATATGAAGAAGGCTTCCTATTAAAATATTAAGATTAGTATCATGTATGCTCTGATTTATTGTATGCAATATTTGGCTTATTCACTTGGCATTATGTATTAGGTTTTATTTTTTATCAATGGAGACATTATGGGAAAGCTACAAAATGGGTGCTGGTTTAAATGAAACCAGTGCTTTGGAATTGAGGTATGAAAAATTGAATTCAGTAAATGAAGTGATTACAGGGTATGCAGAGTCAAAATTTCCTAGCTTTATTGATACTTGAAGATTTTTTATAGGTTACGTTACTAAGGTGTTTGGAAATATTATTTTGGAAGGCTACTTTGCAACCAGTTGTGGCCTTATTTATAACTAAAGCTAAGTTCTATATTTTCATTAAAACCTTAAAAGAAGCCATATGTTTGAAGGATTGATTTCTGAATTACTAATTTAGTCATATTCGCTCTTGTGCCTGTGTTTTGTGATAATCAAAGCGGTGTATTCCTCGCTAAAATTTGCATGTATCATGAAAGGATCAATTACATAGATGTGAAGTTTCATTTCATTGAGGAAGTATTTGGTGATGAGATTGTGGTAGTGTGAAGATCTCATCAAATGACAATATGCATCAGATATGATGACAAAGGCTCTAATTTTCTCAAAATTTCAGCATTGCTCGGATTTATTGCGGGTGTTGAGAGAGAAGTCTCTATTTTGTTTGCTTATCTCTTGCAATCAAGATGAAGATTGTTGTGTTGGTTCTTTTATTTACTATTAGTTTGTTTCACTTTCAGTTTAGTTTCTTGTTAAGAGGTGTATTTTAATAATTATTTATTTACACATTTATCGTAAGGAGTTTGGCTATAAATATACCCTTCACTCTTGTATTGAAGACAGATAATTATTATTAGTGATTAGTGAATAAATCTTCTCTTTTATTATACTAGTCTTCTTTTTTTTTTTCTCTTTTGTGTTTTTTATTTCTAGCGTAACAGTGCTTTTATTCTTATCCAAGAACAAAGTGGATGTGAAGTTGTAGTTACTTTCATTCCCTTTTGAACCTTGAAGGTGTTGCTGCTCAAGGGGTTCTTAGGTTGAATGGTTTTTGGAGGATTTACCCTATTTTTCGCTTCAAGCATCAATATAAGGGGGTAGTCATGGGCCTTTTTTTATTTTTTGGGGGAAAACTTCATAGAAATCCATGGAAATGCTTTCCCATGAGAGTTTTAGTATGTGCAATGACATGTATATTCAGTTCCTATTTGAAGTTTTGGCGGTACTACAATATATATATATATATCTATCTCTCTCTCTCTCTATATATATATATACACTATTGTTTTTAAAATTTTTTACGGTACTACAATATATGATTCTTCTGGTATACTTAGTTCTTGTTGCATGTTTGGTCGATAAAAATATCGTTGTAGGTTTTGTAATGCCTTTTGCACCCCAAAATGTACAACCACATTGTATCGCCTCAAATGTGTGCACCTTTCACATTCATTAGACGTTAGGTGCATAATCCAGTCTGCACAATTATGCTCCTTTGTGGAGTAGGCCATTTCTTAGTGCTAAATCTGAATGAGTTTCCTTCTCAAAGTGCTTTAATATTTGTCTGGAAAGTGGTTCTTTCGGTGCTACTCATATTAAGGAAAAAATGGCAAATGAACTTAGATGTATTGATAGGCTCCCATGTAACTGTTTGCATTAGTCACTGCCTATGCTCTGGGCCGCTACAACAACAATATCAATCTTTCATCCCACTAAATGGGGTTTGCTACATGAATCATTTTTCTTCATTGTGTCCTTTAACAGTTAAGTTCTCATTTAGATCTAATAAAGAAAGGTCATTTTTGATATTTTCTAACCAAGTCTTTTTAGGTCTACCTCTACCTTTCTTAACAAAGGTCAAATCTAAGACATCTACTCTCCTAACTGGGTCATTGGAAGGCCGCCGTTTTATGTGACCAAACCATCTAAGACATCTACGCTCTGGGCCACTCGATAATTTTTGCCTTTTTAGGATCAATCTTCATCACATTTTTTCCCACCTCAAATCCTATGTAGAACAGACACTTTTTGATAATTCACTTTTCTTTTAGTTCAATGGAGATTGTGTTATTCTAGCTAATGGGATGCCTTCTTGCAAATGCTCTAAGTTCTCCTCCCATGTTTTATTGTAGAGTAGAGGATATCTTTTAAATAGATGATAATAAAGTCATACGTATATAATTAGAGACCATCATTCATTAATCTTATGAATGTAGTTGGGGCATTGCAAAGTTTGAATTACATAACCAACAATTGATACAACTCTTTTTAGTTTCGAAAAGTATCGATCATGCATCCATCTCATTAATGTTCACCTGATAGTATAGAGGTCCAACTTGGTGAATATGTTTGTTGGATTCTTAATTGATCCAGCAGATTTTTGATGCACGAATGCAGATAATAGTTCTCATTGTTGGTCCCTCAGTTGTTTGTGAGGGACCAAAATAGTCTCTTTCTTTTGATGGATCAATTTGGTCCCTCAATTTTTTAAAATGAGATTTTTTGATCCTAACATCTAATGTTGGAGTTAATGGTGTTAAATGTAAGGATATTTGATCATTTTTTAATTAAATATTTATAAAATATAATTTTCAAATAATTTTAAATTTTAAAAAATATTAATATTTTCTAAACCCTTTAAAAAATTAATGATAATTTTAAGTTTAATTTTAAAAAATTTAGTCTATTTATTGATTTAGAGAAATCAAATGCAAATAGATATTATTTTTAACTTAGTCGCACATATTTTTATCAATCATATTTTATAATATGATGAGGTAGCTTTGCATTGATCTCATAATTTCTGGCAACATTTGACTTAAAAGGTCAAAGTAAGTTTTGGAGCATTACATTTTTTGCTCATCTTTTTGTTCTTCAAGAATTGAGTCTTTCCTTCGACGGTTTTGGTGCCTTATCTTTCTTGCTTTGACTTGCCTTGATTCTTGTACTTCATGACTATTGCCATCACACTAGCCTAAAACTGTGATCAACAATTTAAAACAGTTGGAGTTCATTTGCAATTTTATTTTCAAAACTTGTACATCTCAATATTTCCTAATAAAGTAATTGCCATGTCAGAATTAAATACACAAATTTGATAGGAAGATGAAATTAAGTGGCATTTTTTAGCATAAAATAGACTAACCATCCCAAACAACACTAAAGAACAAGATATATCCACTCCCAAATTGTTGGAATATGATTAATAATTGATGCTAATGATGTTTTATGTTTGCAATTAGATGATTAACTTCTTTATTTGGAATTAGACTATGTTGAATAACTTAGGCTTCATTTGGGACAGCTTTCTTCTGCTTCTTAAAACTGCTTTCTATTAAAAAAATTAAAAATTTTATACTAAAAAACCGCTTTAAGAAGCAGCAAGAAAGTCGTCTCAAACAAAGCCTTAAACTCACCTAAATCTCTGGTTTTTCTTGCAGCAAGAGAAGCAGAAAGCTATGATCAGTGAGATGGTCGGAAAACTGACAAATGTGTGCTGGGACAAATGCATTACAGGCACTCCTGGAAGCAAATTCAGCTCTGGTGAGACCTCCTGCCTCACCAATTGTGCTCAGCGGTATATGGATATGAGCATAATCATCATGAAACGCTTCCAGTCCATGCAGTGAAGAAAATCACTATCTTGTTTTTTAGTTTCAATCTTCAATCTGCACCATATAACTAGGTTGAGACGCTTCTTTTTTCCTTGGTAAGTTACTTGGACTCTGTTTTTCTTCGGTTTCATTGAAGAAAATCCTTTCTGTTTCGCTGAAATTACTTATGTTTTGCATTATTATCAGTTTCTTACTGTGATCTTCTGTTTTTGTGCAATTTGGAGTGACCATAACTGTCTTAAAAATGATTATGAAATTATAAATTTGAAAATAGCTCTCTTATTGCTATCATATTCTTCTAGATTTGGTTGTAGAAAAATTCTTCATCATAGAACTTATTATGAACAACAACAAAATTTGCAACTAAATAGAAGTGCGGTAATGATTTGTAAAATAAATTAATGTAGGGAAAATAATCTTATCGAGATGCCAAAAATAATCTTGTGACCTCTAATACGGCAAGTTATTCTGTGCAGACGCTGAGCGTTGTTCAGAGATCAACCATAATGCACCACATCACCCCAGTTCGGTACTGCGGCTCGGTACTACGCTCGGTACCGCTAATATGGCGCATTCTGGTTGGTCTCTGGACGGTGAACTGCGTTTGATGTCCACAGAATAATTTCTCCTCATGCGGAGTCTATGTAGATAGTTCTCATCCTAGCTTTACTATGATGATCTATCTGTTGAGATAAGGACTAGCCGACTAGCTGTTTGTAGTTCTAAAAATTACTGCCTTATTGATGGTGAGGGTTATATTATTTTGATTCTTTGTCTATGTTTGATGGAGGTGATGCTACTATATAGTTTTCCCTAAAGAATAATTTTTGTATATTTGAAAATTTCTTTCTTTGACTTTATCTTACCTCATTTGTTGATGTTTTAACTCTAATTTTGCTAGCTTACATTAGCTTTATTTCCTTCTTTTTTATAATATTCATACATTCTTGTGCACATTGATCCAGCCTAAAGTTAGCTCAATTAGGGGAGTAAATGAATCTAGTATGGTCGGATATTTGCCTAATTGAGCCAAGTTGTTTTAGTTGTTATTGAACTTGAGCTTGGCTTATTAAAAAATTATAGGCTCAAGTTCGGTTCAATTGTTCGAGCTTATTTGGATAGCTTGAGTTGGACTCCATTGTTGAGCTTGATTTTTTAATTTTAAATTATATATTTTTAATATAGAATTTATTTAACAAGGTTTAACTATATTTTATAATGTTAATTAAATTCATTTTTAAATGTATTTGACTTAATCGAGCAGCTTAATCAGGTTACGAGGCGAGTCAGATTGAGCGCGAGTTTGTTTAATATATATGCTCGATATTGGCTCGACTTGAACTTGTGGCTCAATAAATTTCACTCGTGAGCTTGTTCAACTCACTTACACCCCTAAGCTCAATATCGGACCAGCTCGACTTAGTTCAACTTCAATTCAAGTCATGATGGCTCAAAGATTTCTATCCAAGTCAAAATTTTATAGGTCAATCTTTAATTTTAAAATTAAATAAAATGTCTATTGATATCAAGATTTAGTGTAATAATGTAAAATAATACAAAATAATGATATAATAAACTCAACGTTTTAGCTTTTAAACAACTATCATACATAAAATGAATCAATGATCAGTCATGTTGCTCTTTGCAGCTCACTCTTATTTGTGAAGAACTTGTCTTCTATGAGTTCATTAGTTATGAATTCTAACCGAACGTTAAACTAGCATTTGTTGCCCACGAGCTGCTCCAATCGAACGTGAAAATATGTAATTTTTTCGATGTGAACAATGCGATGTTAATATTGACGTCGCACTCGCCGCAAACATCTTTTTGTTTGTTTGTTTGTTGGAGAAAGAATATATATACCCATAATATTCTTTTTGGTGCTATGAAATGGAGTTCGGTTGCGTTGGATTTAATAAAAAAAAAATAAAAGTTATTAACTGCTCACTAACAAACGGCTGATCTATCATTAAATTAAGCATTACTGCTGACTGCTCTAAAATTAACTTAATTAACGTTTATGTTTTTACTTGTTAAAACAAAAGCTGCTGATTCAATCTTGTTGAATGGATGTTTCCACTTCAAGCTAAATTATTGCATATTGCATACTAAAAATAGGGGTGTACTTTTTTTTTTTTTGGGACATTTAGGCCATTTAAGGCAAACTCACACACACAACGCATATTTAATATTTTTAATAATTTTATACTTAAAAAATCTTCAATGTTAATATATATTAAGTGATTTTTTTTATAATGAGTCAGCTCTTGACCTAACAAGTCGAGTTAAGGTTGGCTCAAACATGGCTCATTAGCTCAATAAGCTCGGCTTATGAGCACATGTCGAGTCGAGCTCGAGTTAGCTCACAAATCAACTTAACTCACTCACACCCATATCTAAAAATGTATCAATCAACATCATCATATATGATCTACCTATAAATAACTAGGATTTCTTCTACTATATATAATCATATTATCTTAACACATATGATTCCTTTCAATAATCAAAAACTACACTTCCATTAACAATTAAAGGCTAAAAACACCTAAATACACACTTAAACTAAACTACTACATTAGAATTAGAGTAAATTCTTAGGAAGAGTGAAGGCATGCATTACCCTCTCCTCCCTAACAATCACATTATTGAAACTAGCAAGTGAAAGCCATTAGTGCTCATCCACCCTTTGCAATGAAAACTAGCTTAAATATACATTCAAATTCCTCCACTCCAAACACTTTAGCTTTCTCAAACTCGACTCTTCTCAACGCCCATATTATTAGCTTTGTCTTCCTCTCTCGCCCTTTCTATCTCATCTTTACTCGTTTTCTTAACTTCTGTATCATTGGCGACAATAATCTCTACCGAACTGAGCTTCCCTTCAGTTTCCAAGCTCTTTGGAACCTTTGTGTCCTTGTAGATAATGTAAAGCAACATTTGAACCGCACCAAATGCGAATCCTAATATATTTGGAAGCTGGATAAACATGTTTAGTGAGTAATTAACAAGGTAATTAATGTATTAAGCTAAATAAATGGTTAAGATAATCAGTAGTTACTGCAACGTAGATGTCTCTGGAGCAGAGGCCAAAGGAGAACCAAACCACTGCGCTTAATGTGAGGAAGAATGAGAGATTGAATGGCATGAACTCCACACTTTTGGTACGTATAACCTGCCTCTGGATTGTATAAAAGATAAATAAATGGCAAGTAATTAGTCAAGATGATAGTAATTAAGGAAGTTCTTGCTTAATTATGCTCTTAATTATGATATACACATACAATTATGCTTAATGGAGCAACAAAGACGATGACTGAGAAAGCTACGCAGATCCATCCAAGCACTTGAAGGCGAAGTGAGCCATTAGAGATCAGGAGAAGAATGCATAGAACTATCAGAGATGATAACCCTACGTTCAACAACATGATCATCTTGAATGTGTGTACCTGTACGTAATTTTCATTAAAAATTTTGAATATTTGCATGTTAAATAGAGGAGAGGAGAGATTATTCTGTGCGGACATCGAACGCAGTTCACTGTTTAAAGACCAATAAGAATGTGCAACATCAGCGGTACTAAGCTCTGTACCGAGCAGTACAGAGCAGAGGGTGACATGGCGCATTCTGGTTGGTCTTTGGATGGATTTTCGTCATCCGCACAAAAATAATTTCACTAGAGAGAGAGAGAGAGAGAGTTACCCGAGCTTTCTTAGAGGCATAAAGGAGAAACATGAGGGTGTAAATGGTTTCAATGACACAGCCAAAGGAGTTGATGGTAATTAGGAGATAAGCATCTTTTTTGATTAAAGCATAAAATATCCAAAGCATTGCACTGAACAGAGCCACCACATAAGGCTCAGATTTGAACCCTTCCGTTGATTTCTTTCGATAAATTCGATAAAATGTTGGCCTGCAATTCATTTTTTAAAGCCAAAAAAATTACTTCTGTATATAAAATTAAATTAGTAATATACTAAAATTACATGTAAAATATTATTAATCTGAAAATATTCTTACAGTGGAGCGAGGTAAACCATGAAAGAGACGGCATTGCCTGTAATGGATTAATTCAACATAAAATGGAATTAATTAGTTTGAAAAGAATGTTAATTTGACAACAATAATGGGAGATTTACTATTCATTATGACAAGGAGACTAAACTCTCTCTCTCTTTCTCACTCAATTATTTTGTGCCGACGCTGAATCCCGTTTGGAGACCAATCAGAATGAGCCATGTCGGTACCGCGGCTAGATATTGCTGATGTGACTCATTCTGATTGGTCTTCGAATGTAGAGCTGCGTTCGACATCTGCACAGAATAATTTCTTCTCTCTCTAACTTGCCGTTACGAGCATGTAATAGTTAATTAATTGCAGAAATTTATTTCATATATATAAATAGATATATGAAAGCATCCAATTCACAATATGGAAGAGAAATAAAATTTAAAAGTGCCATGCATGCATAGGAAGATCAAAGGAAGGAGAAGGAGAGCTAAGTAATTATGAGAGCGAAAGAGAAATGAGGGCCTTCATGATTATTATAGTAGTACCTAAGATGCCAAAGGCAAATGCCCAAGGATGATCCAAAGATAAGCCTCCAGCCATTTCAAAAGGAAGAAGAAGAAGAAGAAGAAGAAGATGATGATGATGAAGAAGAAGAAGAGAAGAAGAAGATGATGATGATGGGATTGCAGAAAAAGGAAATAACTCCTTTGCTGCTTCTTAATTCTTCTTCTTCAAACTTGGAAGAAAATCAAACTAACTTGGGTTGTATCACTATGAGGAAGAACCTTCTCTTATATATAGGGAGTTGAGGGGGTTTGGGGCTGGACCATGCTGATTTGGAGGCATGGGGTTGATACCTTCCACCAAGCATGCTAAAACTGAAAATTATTATTTTTATGGAAGGAATCATAAAACCAATTATTTAAAATTTACTTAAGGCATATTGACAAAGTTCATCATATATAGATGTAAATGAAAAATTTATATGCCTATCCTTTAATATTTGATTGATTATATAGTAGTGTCCTAATTAACTATCACTATTATGAAAAAAGGCTTTCGAAACGCTTTTTCTGCCCTACAATTGTAGCAAAAACACTTATTATTTCATTTGCAGCGGATATAAAACCGCTGCACATCCACCGTATTTGTTATCGCTGCAAATAACTTCTGCATGGCTATTCAAACTGTTGCCTTAGATGTAGGTTTTAGCAACGATTTTAACAACTATAATTCTACTATATTACAAAAGTTTTAACCGCTACAATTATGCTACATATGATAATTGAGACTCATGCAATAATTTAATTTTATTATGATTTATATTGATCAATTGAAATCTATTAAAATTATCATAATTAAGGGTTTTTTCTAAAGTATAGAATTGATCAAAAATAAATAAATCTATTGAATTTAATAAAATTATAGAAAAAATCAACAAAGGTATTCAAAATTTTTATACTCCATTGTAAATCTTCTAAGATCATGTACTTGATGATCAGTTGATTCACAAACCAAACCATGAAACCTACTCCCAAATTTTTCTCTCTTACATTGTCAGTTCCACCATTATTGGTAGATGTATTAGATTTGACTTATGTTAAGAACGATAGGAAATACCTAATTAACAAATTTGATTAGCAAATATTAGAAATGATCGACCTTTCTTTTTAATATCATCTTTCCTGTTTATTTCTCAAATAATGAGGAAAACTCTAGTGGCATATTTGAGATTCTTTTATTCATAAATAGTGATTGTTAGCTATCTCCGTTAGTAAGTATTTGTGACGGCATTGCCAACATTAATTTTAAAATTGAATTATATCAATATTACCATTAATTAACAAACTAAGTCTTCATTTGGGATAACTCTCTTGCTGCTTCTTAAATCGACTTTCTTGTTGCTTCTTAAAGCAGCTTTCTAGTATAAAAATTATTTTTTTTACAAAAAAATTGCTTTAAAAAGCAATAAGAAAGTTGTCCCAAACGAAACCTAACTCACTCCCGTTTCTTTCCACATATTACTCCCATACATCCTCATCATCTTCCAAAATACATTCTTGTTGGCTTCCTCATTTGATTCTTCTCTCTATGTAAACCATTTCCCTTTGATGAAGTAAACCATCCATTAAATTAAGAGGCAAAGACTCAGCCACTTTTATCTTTCTTCCAGATGCATGGCAGTCCAAATGGCAATGGAGGATCTTCTATAAAGCTTTTATATTTGCTGGAGAATTCGCCATCCATTATATGTTTCATATGTGGTGGAAATTAAATTGAAAGCCAAATATGAACAATAATTAATAAAGTTAAATATTTTAGTTAATTTTGAAGTTTGTTTGTTTTATTATTTTGGCATGCAAGACTCTTCTTGTTAATATATAATTAAGTTTACTAATGGTTGTTTAGAGATTTAAGCACTATGTTAGCAGTTCATTAAGAAATTATTAATAATTAATTAACGGTCGGCAGCTTTTTTTTTGTCTTATTTATTATTAAGGGATCCAAAATATATTACATAGGCTGTGAGGCATGAAGAAGAATTCTTCTAGTGGACTTGGATATTTTCTTGTTTTTTTAATTTAGAATTTTGACTTGAGCTTCAGAACCATTCAGAAAAAGTTTAACTTATATATCATTCAAATGTGGCATTTATTTATCTTATTATTTCTCACGCATTTTTTTTATCCTATTTTTTTTTTTCTACTATTTTTTGAGGTCAACTATCATATTATAATTTTAGATTATTTAATATAAATGTTCTCCATGAGATTAACCAACAACAATAATATCAAGCCTTTATCCCACTATACGAGGTCGGCAATGTATTTAGGGGTGTCAATTTCGGGTCAAGGGTCGGGTTCAGGTCGAACCCGGAACTTACCCGGGTTCAAACGGGTTGACCCTAACCCGACCCTGGTAGACAAACGGGTCGAAAATCCGAACCCGACCTGGCGGGTTGCCGGGTTGACCCGACACGACCCGGTTTTGGGTTCTGCTGGCGCCGAAACGGCGGTAGGCGGACGGCGGGGGCGGAGGCGAGCAGAGCGGACGCGAGTGAGGGCAGCGCAACTGTGGGCGCGGGGGCAGCGCAGGAAGCAGCGTGCGCGAGCGGGGAAGCGCGGCAGCCGGCGGCAGCGCGGCGGGCAAGGGCGGATTCAAAATTCTATCAAAATGAAGTTAAATTAATTTTTTTCAACAAATTTAATTGTATTTTTAAAAAATTTATATGATAATTATGGACCAAAGAAATATAAGCATCCAACATGAATCTATCTACTCTCTAGTTGTTCAAAGTGATCGATGTGTTTCCCCCCTTATTTTTTTATCCATGAGAAAAGTTAGAAGCAAGGGGGTACCTTTCTTAAGAGAACATGGAGAATATGATTAGATCAACACAATGGTTGTGACATACAGAGCTTGAGAGAGGAATATGTTGCAGGAGAAAAAAGCCTTAGCATTTGCATAGTATTTTAACAAAAGAAGCTTAGATTATTGAAGTCCACAACGTTTCTATGGACCCTACTGCTGCTCTTTACATCATAGTATCAGGGATTATTAAACTTTTCTCTCCATTGGTTCTGAGATAGACGACTGAATACAGTTTCATACGTCGTGTTGGAAAGCACAAAAGCATTGAGAGAGAAATCTTTAGTTTATGATCCTTACTTACTTTCCTCTCTTTTTCTCCGTTATTTATAGCTTTTGGGAAACATTTATGCTCTGATGGTTGTTGGTTTAAGTGTAGTAAGTGCTAATGATAAGTAGTATATTTGCTCATGAAAGTATATATGATGATTTTATAGTATGTTGGAGTAGCTCCAGTGGAAGATAAGATTAGAGAAAGAGTATCTTAGATGGTTTGGTCACATATAACGGCAGCTCTTCTGATGGACCAAGTTAGAAAGTAGATAGTACTTAGATTCTACTTATATTATAAAAGTAGAGGTTGACCTAAAAAAAGAACTGGTTAGAAAAATATTAGATATGATCTTTCTTTATTAGATTTTAAACGGAATTTGACCTTTAAGATGACACAATGGAAGAAAAAAGAATCATGTAGCCGACCCACGTAGTGGGGACAAAGGCTTAATGTTTTTTTTTTAATATATATTTTTATTAAGGGCTTGACTGTGTGTTGTTGTGCTATACTTATTGAATGTTAATTAGAATTTGAAAATAGATTTAGTTAATAGATAAATATTCAAAAAGAAAGAATTTTTGAAAAAAATTTAGATTTATTCCCACATTATGCTACAAATAGCCACTAAGAAAATGATCTCAAAAAAATTTAAAATATAAAAATAATAATTATAGTGTAGAAAAAATAGAAGTATAATTAATTGTATATTGATAACTATAAGATAAAATATTTGACTTTTGCACCACAAATACATTTAAAACAAAATTTCTTTCTAAGGCAATTTTTTCTCATGATTTGTATTTTCTTTTAATTTTGTATTTTTAAAAATAAATTATACTGCACTTATTTTTAGCATGTCTTATTTATCTCTCATTCAAGATTTTTTTTTTAATGTTTTTTATGATTTGATATGATCACAAATATGTCATCAAACATCAACACATTTGCTTTTTCTCCTAATATTTTTAATTTCTAATCATTCTCTAAAACTAACAATACTTCATAAAAGTTCCACTTGCATTATCTTTAATTGTTGAGATTATGACCACTTTTTCTCCTAATATTTTTAATTTCTAATCATTCTCTAAAACTAACAATACTTCATAAAAGTTCCACTTGCATTATCTTTAATTGTTGAGATTATGACCAACATTTTGTTACTCTACTTTGCATGTTAGCCAATATTGGTGGCTCTTATAGTCTCACAAGCAATAATATAAGCACTTGTACTTCCATGAACTTTGGTGAACCACATATATTTTTTCTTATATAAATAAAAATTTTTGAATGATAAAAGGCTCCTACAAATTATAGCCACTTATCCAAACTTCTTATCATAATAATATATGCAATCGTGCACTTATTATTATTTTCTTTTGTGTACTACTTTTATTTGATGTCAAAGCATGATAAATTTTATATAACTTGATGAATTTTTTCATTTTTAAAGATAAGTTATGAGTCATTTGTACTCAATATGATATAATCATATAATTATTTATCATGTATGATTGTATGTATATGTCATATTTCTTTGACTATTTATCTCATAAATATGTCTGAGATGTTGTAGCTAGACATAATTCAAATCAATTAGAATAAATAAAAATATAAAGAACAGTGGCGGAATTAGACTTTCATTTTAGGGTGAGCAATATTTTCATATAAATTGACTAATATTAAAAAAAATAAATAAAATGATGATATGATTCAAAGTAAAATTTTGTATTTTATTATGATAGATAAATTGAAAATTATTGCAAGCTAAAAATAGGATACTAAACTGGAAATGGGGTTGCCAAATGTTGGGTTCAAAGTAAAATTTTGTATTTTATTATGATAGATAAATTGAAAATTATTGCAAGCTAAAAATACGATACTAAACAGGAAAATGGGGTTGCCAAATGTCAAACCTCAGTTTTAGTGGCTTTCTCAAGATCAAAACTCAGATTGCTAGTGATTGCATGGAGGCTTGGAGCTGGGCACGAATTGTAGACGATTACATGCGCTGGGGAACGATTGAACAAGGTTTGTGGCTCTAATCGTTTGAACTCAAAATATTTTTTAAGTTGTAGCTAGCACGGCTGGCATGCATTGGTTAATGTTTGCGTCTGCGGATCGAACAATTTCTGCCATTTTAGGACTATGGGTGGGAAAATAACTAACATACCCTTAAACTATTTTATTAAAATTTTGAGGGCATAAGCACAAGTCCGCCCCTAATAAAGAAGATAAATGCACAAACCGCATCCAAAGTTTTATAAAATTCTTCTCATTAATGATTAGTTTATTAGTTATTATCATTATTTATGTATATTTCACAGTGCAAATAATAATGGAGTTTTGCAAAAAAAAAATAGCAATACTGACCTTATAGAGGTAGAACCTAATAATAACAAACCCTTTTAAGGAATTATTTGGTCAATAAATGTATAGCCAATTAGTTAGTAACAATTAGTTCATAATTAATTCTATTAAGATTAACTCTATCTATAAGAAGCTCTTAACTAATCTTTTCTATTAATTAACATTAATACAAATGTTTAAGTGATTAAATTAGCACCATAATGAGTGGATGGTTAGTGGAGTCAAATAGATTAGATGTGATACAAAAAGAATTCCATTAATGGAGACCAAAATGGTAGCTAGCTAAGAAGATGAGATGGATGGAGAAAGGAGAGGTGGAGATAGACAGTTAATTAATTATTAGAAAAAGGATTAGTGGAGGGTCATTAGAGTAACGAGAGAATATTTAATAACTAATTAGTGGACCAATTAAGCTATAATTAATTATCTTTCAATTTGATGCTTGTGAAGCTTTTCTATGCACTTTTGCATATTTTATGCAAAGAGATTTGGGATATTTTTTTATAGATTGCCATTTGGAAATTGAATGCCGACAGAGAAAAAAAACCAATATATTCTATATTAAAAATAAATAAATAAATTAAGCGTATAAAAGACAAAGATTTGGTTTTTTCAACAATGAAATTTGATTGATTGTTTGAAGAATATTCCCCAATTAAATATTATTAGAAAAAAATTGTGATGGCAGAGATTAAAAATTGTGTCATAATTTATATCAAGAAAAAAAAGTAAAAAAGACTTACATATTTTGATAATAATGATATATATATAATATATAATATATATATATTAATAATAAAATATATATATATAATAATATAATATATATATATATATTTATGACACATTATATATAATATATTGAAAAAATTTCAATAGATGGGTATCGACTATTTAAAAGTCCTTCAATTGTTTGACTTCTAAATAAGAGCGCTAAATGATCCCACCAAGGAATTAATTTCTTATTATTTAAAATCAAATAATAAAAACTGGTAGTTACATAATCGGGAATTATTTGTTTCATTAGAAAATATTACGGGAAAATTCGTCTTTTTCTCAATCACATATAATCATAATTTATTCCCTAAAAATTGGATTTAATCTCATCCATTTTAAATTAGAAAGTTAAAAATAATTGGAGCCTATTTAAAATTAAGAAGATTATTCCAATGCTTATTTGAATATTCTAAAAGGTCTAGATTTTATTAACTATAGATTGCATTGGGAAGGCAAATAAATAAAATATTAAATATAATATTTTAAATTATAATATATTTGATTTAAAATATAAAAAATAGTGCATGATGCCATGTTTGTTTTAATTTTTTAATCATAACAAATATCTTCAATCAACTGTTTCAAATTTTTTTTAATATAAAATATATAAGGTAATTTATCTTTCCCACTTATTGTCCAAGTAGTAATAAGAATATACTTTTTTTCTTACTTATTATGCCTTGGGCCACTTATTCAAGAAGCTCTTAGAATTACAAAAGCTAACTATTTCTTTCATTTAGTAGGCCCAACATTCATATTTGCTCCTAATGTCATCACCATAACCCAATAGTGTTGAAATGCGTCCATCAAAATCAAAACGACTTGAAAATTCTTTTCATTTTTTTTTCTTTAAACACAAATTAGGATAAGTTTGGCACGGTCACCGAACGATCATTGAACGCCGAACGCCGTCCGAAGACCTACCTGAATGCGCTATATCATCCATGTGATCGGTATCGTGACTCGATATTGCTGTCGTGACGCATTTTGATTGATTCTGGACGGTGTTTTGCATCTGGCCTCCGCAAACCATAATTTCTAATTCCAAAGAGGCCCTTAGTTGACTTTTGTATTTCCATAATGATAGGTGAAAATCTTGTAAGCTTAAATCCACATAAATTAAAACTTATAATGTAGCACCTCGGCCTTGGATAAGGCCGTAGAGGCTGGGCCTGTTGATGAAGCCCATTTATTGAAGACAAAACTGGCCCATCTATAGAACCCCGAGAAAGAGCGGGCCGCCACACGTTATCCTCGAGTATTCTTTAGGCATGTCGGCGCCGCCCCGTCTTAATTCCGAACAAAATCTACAGGCGCGCGTTAGCAAAGCACCGGCCTTCCAATCCGATCCAGCCGTCTATGGTTAGGCGCCGTGCAGCCTGATGTGCTTGGCCTCCCGGTCTCGACACGCGGTGCGGCCGTATGGTCACATTGGCCCTGAAGCCTTTCCTTTATTACTAAACAGACCATAAAAAAGGACTCTCATCTTTGCTGAGGATTCTCAGCCACAGATATTGGTGGGTGCATTCAATTTTGGCGTTTATGTGGTCCCCAGAAATATTTTGTCATGAAAATGCAGGCTTACCGGAGAAGGCGGTTCAGGTTGACTTAGCAAACAGCAACAGACAATTTATCCAACACAAAGACGCCACGTCGTTATATATGGAACTTGCTTACGTGGCATAAATCTGTCAGTAGATTACGGCACGTTTGTGGTTAGATGAAAACATCACAGCGGGCTACCACGCACCTCAAAGCATGCCTGCTTTGCTCTTCTTCGTCGTCTTCCTCAGAAATAAAGGGCCGGTTAGTTCGCTTCGCCCACTCCAAAGGAAACCCTAATCTGCTATTCCAGTTACCTCCGGCGATCGATCATACGGCGGCCAGAGGTGCTTTATTATCGGTGGGGAAGGAGTGATTCGTTACGCTATCGGTTTCTGTCGGCGGTGTTCGCGGTGAATCGGAGTTCAATGAGGGTGGGAGATCAGATGTCAGAGGAGGATCATTTAGAGCTTAAGTTCCGACTGTACGATGGATCAGACATCGGGCCGATACGATTTGCTTCTAGTTCTACGGTAGCTGTTGTTAAGGCGAGGATCATCGCGGACTGGCCAAAAGGTTAGGATTTTGTTTACTTCTCTTGAAATTCTTATGGGATTTGGATTTTTCTATTGCGCTGAAATATAATTTTGGCGGGAGTTTACAGTGATGGGTGTGGATTGGTATCCTCACAGTTTCGATTAGATCTGTTTGAATGTGAATTGTCACATCTTTGGATTGTGTTAGTAGTTTATTTGAGGAAATATGCGTCTCTTATATAATAAAATGGTTTTTTTTTTATGAAAAAACTGGGTCATCATATCTTATCAAATCTTGGTTTGGATTGTTTTATAATTATTGGATTTGCTTTAAGACAGTGTACTGCATACAATTGTTGGATTTTTCTTCGTAATTGATGCAAGAGGTGATTGATTAGTCATGTGTTGCACTCATCTTCAAACAAATTCAACGATTTTAAAAAACTATCATTACCCAATTTTTCTGCAATTTTCTTTGCTATCTTCCAAAGGGTAGTTGAAGTTTTTGGAATTTCGTCAATTTCACATTCTACAGTTGATAGCAAGAAAAAGGAGTAGAGTAGATTTGAGATTGTAAGGGTGTGATATATGTGATTGGATTAATCCATTTTGATTGCAATATACCATCCAACTTGAATCCAAACTGATTGATTTGTAAAAATTCATACCACAAGATGTTGGTTCTAATTGTAGAACATTCATGTTTTCTGTATGATGAGTATCAATTTATAGTTTATATTTTAAAACAATTGCTTCTCTAAGATTCAGAAAGGTTTTAATTGCATAGGATAAAGTTGATTAAGTCCTTTTACGGACCAAAACCATGTTCCAGAATTCCATTGAGAACCGGCTTAAACTTCCTATAGCTCAAAACTTGCAAAATCTGCAGTTGCTTGTAGCTTTGTATCACTAATAATTGCATCAAATTTAGTCACCCAAACATTCTTGTAAATTATGCAAAATAGAGCATGTTATAGCTCATCACGTACAGGTGCACCTCTTGCACAATTGATGTAGCAAGGTGAAAAAGGACAAACTAACGTGGGAATGCACGCTATTCATAAGCTATATGTAGGGTCATCAAAATGGTCATTGTTTGTATTTGATCATGCTCAACTTCTTTCCTTAACGAGATATATATATATATATATAATAGATTCATCTAGACATTTCTTTTTCTATCTTTTTTGTTATTTAGGCTTAATTCATTTCTATAGTATGGTTTTGGTATCTTTCCATCGATAACTTTGGATCAAACCATGTTTGTTAATAATTGATTAGATTATTTTTCGTTGTTCAATTATGTTTTAGGAGTGTCATATTTGAAGAGAGGTCCACCTGGAGAATTAGGGGCGGTCTTTATCAATGTGCATGAGTGGATGCAGTAGCATTTGCCATGCTTGTAATATCTGCTGAAAAAGAGATGGATGCAGTTTTCATCATAAACAAATATTTACTTTAAAATTGTGTGGATCTTATGGCTGCTTTGATTGTTACAAAAATTCAAATAATTTTGTCCTTTAGCATTTGTCTTAGTAGCATCTCTCAAGTAAAGAGACATGACATGCAACTTTCATCTCAAACATCTATTTTATGTTGTTATGCTTTTATTTAGTTGCTTTGAGCAACACTGAAATAGGCATTGTTTTGTGCTTTGCTTAGCAAGTAATGATTTGTGCAAAATTTATTCTGTTGACTTGTTTGTTTATACACATGCTGATTTGTTATGGAAAATTATGAAATAGTTGTGTATTGAACTTTGACTTCTGCTTTAATTTTCAATTTTCTCATTATAGTTGGCATTTTCATTTTTTGGCCATGAAACAACCTAGACTTGTTACTTGTAGATTGCTGCTGAAGTAGGGATATAACTTGGGCATTATGGGAATTAATCATACCAAATGAGGCATACAAAAAGCTTTTGCTTTGAAGTTTCCTTCTGGTACAAATGGACAATAATAATTTCTATTACTTTAAAGCTCAGCTGCTCCAGCTTTGATTCACATGGCTTGCCTGTCTTAGCTATGTATATTTAAACTGTAATGTGTTATGTTCAAAATAGATGTTATTGTTTTATATTTATCTTGAGTTGCATTATTTCTAATTGTTCTCTTTGTTTTTTGACTTTTGTTTTTTTATTGATATTTTGTTTGTTTGTCTCTTCTATAGACAAAAAACTCATACCTAAGTCAGCTAGTGACATAAAGCTAATAAGTGCGGGAAAAATTCTGGAGAACCACAAGACAATTTTACAATGTAGACCATCATTTGGTGAGCTCCCTGGAGGAGTAATCACCATGCATGTTGTGGTGCAGCCATCATTAGGTAAATCAAAGACAGGTATATACTTCGCCATTTTATCTATTAGTTACAGAAAGCTAATAGTTTCAAGTAATGTTTGTTTCTAATTTTGAATCATTAGTTAAGTTTATTGCATTAGCTAAATTCAGTTGCATCTTTGAGCATGTTTGAGGTCGTCGTTCGTGTCTGTGATTACTTTTGATGTAGAAAGTAGCATATCTGAAGCATGTTCCATAGCATGCTAGTCTATCAAAATTTGTATGTTTAGTCTGTAAACTTGATCTTTAAAGATGAAAAAGTTTATAGCCACATTAGGAAGCTACACAAGTTAGAACCTAGATGGAGAAATGCTAGTAAAACGAGGAATCACTTTTTAATATTTGCAGGTGTTGTCAGATGCTTTACAGTTTATATGAAGTGCGTGTTAAACTTTTTTCTTCAGAAAAAAGAATCCTCACATCTGTTAAATATCAAGGATTCCAGTTCCTGGATCATGCAAACAAAAAAGGATTCTGATTCCAAGTTGTTATCGGAGTATTTTCTTTCATCTTGTTAAGTGGAACTAAATCCTTATGATATATGCATAGTGCTTCTGGTCTTAGAGTATAGAATGTTTTCATTTTACTTAGCCAATTTATTTCTTTTCTTTTTACATAAGATTATGGTCGTTATATTGTGAGAACCTACAGGAAAGGAGAGAAATTTTTTTCATGTTATATATTCTGACTAGAGAATTTAGTTTTCTAGCAAAGGTTGATGGTGTTTGTCAATGAACTGAACTCTGGAAAACCTAGCCTAATATGTGCTTGACTTAGTACAACTATGGGAAAGTTTGATTCCTTCTTGAGCTCAGTTCAATATTGAACTACCAAGAATATTAAAATAAACCGCCAGGCCATCAGACTGGCTTTAACAATTGGAGAAGCTTTGAAAAGTAAACCTTGAATTGGCATCTTACGAAATTTCTAATTTAGCTCCAAGGTATACCTATCCATTTGATCTAATTGTTATGAGACTTTTATTTGCAAAAGGGTAAAATGGAAAAGGGTTTTGAAATTCACTAAACTTTTTTTTTAAGCACAATTTTCTTTTAGTAGCTGTTATGTATAAGGAAGCTAAGGATTAACAATCATCTATATTTTTTTGTTTTCTGTGCAAGATTTCTGCAAGATTTATGGTTTGTGTATTGATCAACTACTTTGATTATGAAGTCAATGGCGATTTTCACCCTAAGTTGGCAGTTTAAATAAATATCATAAATGCCATCATTTTATGATCTATTCTTTTTCGCATCTTGATTTGAAATTCAAATGTATTTTTTTCCCTTATACGGCATGGAAATTGATGCTATTCCAATTGATACTTCTACTAAATACCGCATACCTGCTTAGACTTAGACTTCGTTTGGTACGACTTTTCTACTACTTCTTAAATCATCTTTCTAGTATAAAAATTTTAATTATTGAACTAAAAAGCTGCTTTAAGAAGCAGAAAAAGCCGTCCTAAATGAAGCCTCAGACTTCCCAAAGTTTAATTTCAAGTGGGCTTTTGTTATAAAGCCATATAGCAACTTGGTAGAGCATATATTTACATTTTAGCATGTTCAATATAGCACAGTGTTTAATCATTAAATAGATTAATAAAATATTTTTGATATGATGTCAAGGTGCTATTCTGGCCAAGATATGATAAATCATGTGCTTTCAAGTTTAGCTGACATCCATTTTTTGATATCAGCTATAAGGAACCTTGAGTTACATTATTATTTTGTTATATGGATTGGAAATATATGCAGATCTTTATTCATAAACTTAAGGATTTGAAATCTTATCTCATGCAAATGGATAGGGGGATTTTTTGACGGAAAAGGCTTTCCTTTACTTTTGAATAAAAGAAAATCATGCTTCCAAAAAGATTTTTTTTTAATTGTGAAAATAACCTGCCATGCCCTTCATATTTTATTTTATATTTGCAAGTAATTTTGATGAAAAAGATCCCCAATATATATACAAGTAAGGCAGAGAAGCAGCTTGGTGATGTGTAATCAAATTTCCATGAAGAATATTGTATTATAGCCCTTATTTCTTGCAAAGAAATGTTTCTTGAGATAATATCTAAATAAAAGTGATTAAGCATCTTTTTTATGCCTACCTAGAAGCATTGAAACCCTGAATTTCCAAGTCGCAAGTTAATGTATCAACAACAACATCAAGCCTTTATCCCACTACGTGGGGTCAGCTACATGAATCCTTTTTCTTCATTGTGTCCTATTAAAAGTCAAATTCTCGTTTAAATCTAATAAAGAAAGGTCATTCCTAATATTTTCTAACCAAGTCTTTTTAGGTCATGCAAATAAAATGCACTTGTGGTTCCTAATTTTTATTCATACAAAGAAAACATAAACCTCCCTTTATTTTGTATTAGGGGAGTTATATTTGTAATCTATAAGATGGTGGTGAGACTTGCAATGCTTTATGGCTCAAAATGTTGGCCGTTAAAAGAGAAATATAAAATTAAGTTAAGTGTTGTGGAGATGAGGATGCTCAGGTGGATGAGTGTGGCTTTACTCTTAGAGATAGAATGTGAAATGAGTATATATGTGAAAATTTGGATTAGCTCCCGTAGCGAATAAGATTATATAGAGCCCCCTTAGATGATTTTATCATATAAAATGTCAGCCTTTTGATAAACCGATTAGTACAGTAGATTAGATGTATTAGATCAAACTTATGTTAAGAAAGACAGATAATTTAAAAATATTTGGTTAGAAAGTATTAGAAATGACATTTTTTTATACTTTAATGAGAAATTGACTCTTAATATTACACAATGGAGAAAAAAAATTATATATCTGATCCCATGTAGTGGGATGAAGGCTTGAGATTATTGTTGTTGAAGTTATAGTTGTGATCTCCACAATAAAATTATTGTGAAATTGTCAATGGTGGCAACAAGTAGTAGTGCTATCAATTGGGTAAACCTATTTAAAATTATCTTTTTGTATATTGATATTCATTTTCTTTTTCTCCGAATTTGAATTACATTTTACCTGTTACCTAGTAATTGTTGTTTCACCTAATCAATGAGTTTCATTTGCACTGCAAATCATGGAGCAGCACAATCGTGGAATCCAAGATAGGCTGAGAATGGCTCTTGCCTCACTTGGATTACAAAAAAGCCACCACCCCTTCCCTTTTTCTAAATTTAATATCAGGATTTGCAGAACTACATGTAATGATATTTGAACTAAATATTTGTCTGCTTTACAGAGAAGAAGGTGGAAGACATGCCGAAGAAATCTAGCTGTTCCTGCTCTATTTTGTAATTTAAAATGGATAGAGATATCCATCTCGGTTCTAACCGTTCCTTCATCCAGCTACTATTATTCAGTTTGACAGCAAAAGGGAAAGGCATTAAGAAAGAACACATCTGCAGATTGTAAGTCGATTAGGCATGAGAGAGAGTTTGTAATCTTAATAGCCTGCTGTTGCAAAACTCTGCGTAAACTGGTAAAATAGATTATTTTGTTCAATTCAAAAGCCTCCCTAATTGAATCTTCTGAGTCCCACTACTCTCTCTCTCATAGTACAACACGTTTTGATACTAAAAGTTTCTATTTTATCATATTTTGATTCATTTAGGACGAGTTTCTTTCTGCTTTTAAAGTAACTTCTTAGTACAAAAATTTTCAACTTTTGTACTAGGAAGCTGCTTTAAGAACATTTAGAAAGCCGTTCCAAATGAAGCTTGAATCCTAAGTTGCTTCTAATAATTTCTGTGCAGCTGTGTAGCAGTATGTGCTGCTGAGTGTTAGAGTATAATATTTTATTAAATATGTATATTTTATTGGCGGTATACATATGCAGTCTGCGATAATATTAATAATAACATCAAGCCTTTATTATACTACGAGGGGTTGGTTATATGAATCTTTTTTCTCCATTATATTATATTAAGAGTTAAATATTTATTTAAATTTAATTAAAAATATATTTTTCTAATATTATCTAAGTTTTTTTAGGTTTATATTTACTTTTAGATCAAATCTAATATATTTAAAATTTTATCGAACTCAAATTATTGATTAATAGATAATGTGCTATTTGTGGTAATACTATTTTCATTTGCAAGATTGATTCAAATGTGAAGTTTAATCTTCCTCTTATTTAAAGGTGAGAACTATTGTAATTTTTTTTTACAAAAATTTTTAATTTAATTTTTTTTTTGTGCTAACAAGTTATTTTAGAAAGTAATAAGAAAGCTGTCTTGATTGAAGCCTAAGACTTTGTTTAGGATTAAATATAACACAAATGAAGCAAATGGGTCATGAAAACATTGCTGATATGATTGCCATTAAGGTTTTATTTTGGATGGTTTTCTTACAGCATCTTAAAGTAGCTTTTTAATACAAAATTTTTGAATTATTCATTTGACAATTATAGTCATATATGATAAAACAAGAAAATTGAGAAAAATAAATAAAAAATTGGATTGTCATGAAAAAAAAAACCTAATTTTGAAATTATATTATTTCTTATTTTGATGATTGTAAATTATAGGAAATAAATGAAAACATTTGATCCAATGAGAGAATATAATTTCAATATGTAATTAAGATTATGCTACTTGTTTAAGCTTTAGCATAGTTTATATATATATATAGCAACCATTATATGTGAAGTCCTGAATATAAATAAGGAAAAATATAATGCCAAAGATACAATAAATATAATCCCTTGATGAGCATATCTTAAAAACAAAACAGAAGCCAAAGCCCTCATAAGTAAAGATAGAATGGCAAAGCAAAAAACTTTCATCTGACAAAGTAAAATTAGTTTTAATATATTTGGATTTATCATTAATTAAAAATTATATTATTTCTTTCTTTTAATATATTGCCAATAATAACACCTACAACCATCAAATTAAGCTTTTTATTAATAAAAATAATATGGCAGTTTTCACAATGCTGAAAAACTAGAGAGAGAGAAGCATCAAGAAGAACTATATGGTAGAGAGATTTAGTTGCCTAGTTCTCATATTACAAGCTATTTTGAAGCCATCATATTTTACTTATAAATGGCATATCAAATATAATACTTCTTTTAAATCATACATATTCAGACCAGCCGATAGGGAGCAAAAATAAAAACTTTTGCATCAACTATGAAATAAAACTTAGCTCACCTTAGTCTGTTGATTTGGAGCTTTGGCTACCAACTAAAAGGTCTTGGATTGAGTATTGCGTTTGTGATGTGTGTGCAAATTTGTCTTAATTGGGCTAAATGTCCGTAAAAAAACTTATGAAAAGGCTATTTTTTTCATTTCCGAAGAGTCTTATCCTCTTCCCATGAGCATGAGCACCAATAGAAGCATTTATAGCAATCCTCATAACATTCAAGAGAAAGAGGAAGACTCTTGTTACCATTAGAAATTATAAAAGAGAGAGGGCATTGATAGGTAAGCTAAAATGATTAAAAAAAAAAAAAAAAAACAGAACTGTCGAAGCTGCCAAATTTAGCATCCAATCAACTATATATGGAAATAGAGAGAACAAATTTCCCACTTCTGATAATTAAAATTGAGACTTTAAGTTACAAAACTAGCAAATTTTATTAAACCCTAATAAAACATCATCTATAACAGATTTTTTGTCCACAAAAATCAACTATAAGGTGCTGTTTGGTGGCATCCCGGATTTGATTTAAGTAGGATTTCATAAATCCTCTAAATTCGGATTTGAAAAATCCCGAGGGGCTTAAATCCTAAAAACTATTTGGTATCAATCATGATAAATCCTCTTAAATTTCATGTGACTATTTGGCTATAGAGCAGGATTTACCAGAGGGACTCATCCTCGGATTTCGTAAATCCTGCAAAATACAGGATTTTCGAAATCCGGGATTTAGAGCGAATCGGCGGAATTTTCCGTCTATATCAGATTTCATTTGCCGTGAGATTTGGTTTTGCATTTTAGGGCGTTTGGCTGGATTTTGCTCAAATCCGGCCTAAATCCTGCTACCAAACAGCCCCTAAGTATTGCACCAAGCAATGAAGGGATGCTTGGGAAACATTTACATGGAATTTACACACCATTGAACAATGAGAGAGATATTCTAAAAAATATATTTTTGTTGAGAGAAAAAAATTGTGAATGTTGGGAGCAGCAATGATGAGATGATGCAATGGTAGAAGAGGCGAAAAATACATGAAATTCTTTTGCAAGTGGCAGGGGGGAGTAAAGCCAACAACTTCTGCTAACAAGTGAAAGGAGTGCACATTGAAAAAAAGAAGAAGCAACACTGATGAGAATTACGCAAAGATATTGATCTGATTTGAGACGACTTAATTTTATCTTTTCTATTTCGAAAAATCAAAGTCATTTTTGAGTTGTTGTTTGTATGTGATACTTTTGTAAAATTATTTTTTATCGAATTTCATTTTTGTATTATTTTCAAAAGCTTTTTAGTATTGACTTCTCCTTTAGAAACATCCATTCTCTCAAATAAAAATTTTTAAATTACCTTTTACAAAATGCATCGTGTAACCAAACAAAGCCATAATAATAAAAAAAAAAACTCTTAAAACTTCTTAAAATTAGCTAATATTTAAATAATCCACAGAAAAATACAAACACAGATATATATAATACCCTAAAACCATTATTTAGTATTTTTTGTGCTCATCGAACGGTTAGGAGCGTGCGATCAGCAGGGCATCCAACGGCCAGAGTTGTGCTCTAAATTAAACAAACGACCATATATATTTCCCGAATCGTATAATCCCCTTTGTTTCGAGCTCTGCAGCCTCTCCCGCCGTCTACGAAACCCTAATTGTAGCCGTCGACCCACGAAACAAAATGGTATTGCTCTTCCTCTCTCTCTCAACGAACTCCAATCCTTTGTTCAAATGGGTTTTTAGAGTTTCATCCAATTTAGATCTGTATTGCTGCAGTTCTATACTGAGAAGTTGATTCATTTTTCTTCTTGTTGTTTGGTTCTGAGATTCGTATTTTGTATGTTGCAGGCTCCCAAGAGAGGAGGGAAGGCGCCGGTCGCAGTGAAGAAGAAAACGGTAGATGCTATGTTGATCTCTTATTTGAGAGTTTGATATTGGGTTTATGCTGACGTCTTTAATTTACTCGTTGCAGGAGAAGGTCGTGAATCCTCTGTTTGAGAAGAGGCCGAAGCAGTTTGGGATTGGTGGGGCTCTTCCTCCTAAGAGGGATCTTCATCGCTTCGTGAAATGGCCTAAGGTAGTGAGAATCCAAAGGCAGAGGAGGATCCTCAAGCAGCGTTTGAAGGTTCCTCCAGCGGTTAACCAGTTCACAAGGACATTGGATAAGAACCTGGGTAATCGATTATCTTACTCCTTGTTATCAAATTAATCCTTGAATTGTAGTTCTGAATAGCGTATCTGGTTGGGCGGAGTACTTCTAACCCCCGGGACCTTGTTATCAAATTATTATTATTTTTGAATTCCATACAAGTGATATTCTTCTTTCATATAATCAAAACTAGTGACCTTAACCTGCATGTGTAGACGGATTTATATCAATAAGTTTATTTTCAATTCCAACTTGATGCTTAAGGATAACAGAATTTTCTTGTAAAATCCAACCTACTTGGCTAATTGTTATGTTTGTGCTCTTAACTCGTTTTAAAATTTTGGAAATCTTAAAGCTTGATGATTAGAGTACGATACAAACTACTTGTTTTACATATAATGTTACTGATATTGAAGACTTTGAATTTCAACTTAGAATTAAGTATTATAATTTGATTGTTTCTATTTAGTCTCTTTTTTTTCAATAAAGAATATGATTGGATGCCCTTCCTGGCTAAACACTCCTTTAATAACCATTTCAGACGCATCATGAAAACTATCAAACAACTTAGTAAATCAAGATAGCTTAAGTTTGTGTATGAGTCAATCTTTCTTGGATTTTAATAAATGCAATATAGATTTAGTATATTTTAAAATTATTTATAGGCAATTTGTAATTGAAGTATTGACAATGCTAAACCCTTTATGAAATTGTTTATAAATAGCAGTCAAATCTTAAAAAATTTTAATATAATGTATGTTAGTAGGTTTTGGCTGAACATTAAGTGCTTTAATTATATTAGAATTAGCATGTTATCCACACACACAATATGTCCTAGAAAGATGTTAGATGGAATCACAAAGCAACAATTTTTGTAGATTCACTTATAACTTTTTAGCTTGTAAAATCTTAAATATGCTCTTAAAATTCACCAAATGATTATATCTAGCCTCTTATAAATGCAAATATCATCAAAATAAATTGCAAAGAAAGTTTTTAATCAAAGTTCAGAATATTTGTTTCATTATTCTCATGCATTCATTTATTTCAATCGAATCACCTGCCTTAAATATAATCCATCATTTGATTTTAAAGGAAACTTATAACTTGACGTGATGATCCACTTCTTCAACCACTTTAGATCCTATCTTGACACATTTTACATATTATCCATTTGAGGAATATGAAATCTTTATTTGATGGTGATTTCATCGATAGCCTTACACTCTACATACATTCTCTAGCTATCATCCCTAGTAAATCCCCTCTTAAGTCATTAACTTATTTTTTAAAATTGTGAAGATCTTTCTAGTGAATTGAGTTCCATTGTGGTGATAATTTTTGTTGAAATGCCAAAATGATATTATATTCTTCCATATGAAGTTTGGCATTGGTTTGTGTGATTCTTGCTAGAGATTCAGCCTCTATCCATTTGGTGAAGTAATTCACAGCTAGGATGATGAATTTTTGTTGTCCAGTAGTTATGGCCTTATGGGAAATGACCCCAGTATATTGATACCCCGTTAGGCGAAAGACCATGGATTTGCAATGATGAAGGTTATGTGACAGGAGAATGTGTGAGATTAGAATGCAGCTAGCAGTTGTTGCAAGTTTGTGTAAACTCTAAAGCGTTCTGCTTCATTGTGGGTCAGTAAAATTCCCGTCTCATGAGTTTGAAGACTAGCGCGCTCATCCTTCCAGTTCCAGGTGTTCTCCGTATATTCCCGAATAAACATCTCAAAGTGCATAATTGGCTTTTGAAGGTAGAAGGTACTTGAGGTATGGTCTATACGCCACAGTAGAGTGAGGGAGTTGTTCGTCTTAACATTGCATGAATATTCAACACACAAATGGTTGGATATTCGCACCCGAGATTCGTCAAAGAGTTGGGTCAATGCATTTTTCTTTATGAAAAATAACTAGGGTCTTTTGAAGAAATGGAGGAAAATGATGGATTTACCCGTTACTCTTCATGTTGGAGCATAAGACATATTGAAGATGCTCAAGGTTCCTGATGTTTAACTTTTTTTTTTTTATGAAGTACGCTACTTGAATAAATATATAGAGGAAGATTTTTTTTTTTTTAAAGTTGGGTTATCCGTTCAAGCTGGGAGGTCAATTGCAATCATGCTGATGAAGTCAATGAAAGCTCAGGAGCCACCTGCCATAACTTCAAAGGTTGCTTCAATCATATACATCAGCTCAGGAACCACCTGTCAGTAAATGTATTTTTAGGATGAGGGGCCAGGCAAATGAATCGGGTCTGTATTTTGAGAATTAAGAGCTCGGGCAGATGAAATAAGGACCAGGTTCTCATATCCTGTGTTTTAGGTCATGCCTTGTTGACTTGCTTTCTAAACAATCATTTAATTCACGAAGTTGACTTGTTTAATTTAAGCTCAACTGCTTTTTACCTTTTTGTCCTTGGTTTATGTTCTTATGTTGATGTTTAGTGTGAATTCCACATTTTTGTTCCCACTCTAGCATTAGATTAATTACCCCTTGTTTATGGCAAATTATTATGTCCGGTGTCCGGATTCGTCCAGACACCAATCCAGACACGTCACATCACCCAAATACACTGGGGCTCAGTGTACTCAGGTGACGTGGCGCGTCTGGATTGGGTGTCCGGACGTAATAATTCGCCCTTGTTTAGATCTTATCTTTTACATTATATCCTATATTTATTTGCAGCAACAAACCTATTTAAGATGCTTCTGAAGTATAGGCCTGAGGATAAATCTGCCAAGAAGGAACGTCTTCTGAAACGGGCACAAGCTGAGACTGAAGGAAAGGTTGTGGAATCCAAGAAGCCAATTGTTGTCAAATATGGCCTTAATCATGTTACTTATCTTATAGAACAGGTTTGCAATCCTTTAATTTTATGATCTTGTTATATAGAATGAAAGCTTAGAGAGTTGGTTGAGCTGTCACCATTGTGATTTGGAATTTGTTTTTTAATTATTATTTTTCCATTATATGTTTTACAATAGTTTATAAATGAATATGTTTTTTTGATATTATTTGAAATATTCATGATTAAATTAATTCAGCAGTTTTTTTTCTTATCATTCCCTCAGAACAAGGCCCAACTGGTGGTTATTGCTCATGATGTAGATCCTATAGAGCTAGTCGTTTGGCTTCCAGCATTGTGCAGGAAGATGGAGATCCCTTACTGCATCGTAAAGGGAAAAGCTCGGTTGGGCACAGTAAGCATATTTATTCAATATTTCTGAATAGAATTACAATCATCACATCCTCACATTTTTTATTACGATTTCTAGATTGTCCACAAGAAAACTGCTGCTGTGTTGTGCTTAACAACTGTGAAGAACGAAGACAAGCTTGAGTTCAGCAAAATCTTAGAGGCTATTAAGGTGATTAGTAAACTAATTCACATTTTTTAGGATCCCTTTGGAGCTGCTGCAGACTTTCTTACTGCTTCTTAAAGCAGTTTTTTAGCACAAAAATTATTATTTATATTAGAAAGCTGCTTTAAGAAGCATTAAGAAAGCCGTCCAAAACAAAGGCTTAGGTTTTGTTTGGGATGACTTTCTTATTGCTTCTTAAAGCAGTTTTTTAAGCAAAAAATTAATTTTTTTGTATTAGAAAGCTGCTTTAAGAAGCAGTAAGAAAGTCATCCAAAACGCAACCTTTATTTTCTTTTCTTTTACTTATATAACTCTTAATTCAGGCTAATTTCAATGACAAATTTGACGAGATTCGAAAGAAATGGGGAGGAGGAATTATGGGTTCGAAATCTCAGGCTAAAAGTAAGGCCAAGGAGAAGCTTCTGGCTAAAGAAGCTGCCCAGAGAATGAGTTAGGTTGCCTTTTTATATGTGTGTTTCATAGCTTCTAAATCAGGATAATGCTGTTCATTAGAGCTTTTGTTTATGTTTTTGAGCTAAGTGTTGTCCGTGGACTTCAATTCTTACTTGATTGGCTTTCATTGCCTGATTGATCAATGTTTTTGTTTTATCTAGTGTTCTCCAGTCTTTCCAAGACTTGCTTATAAGTGTTTTTTGTTGATAAATCCTGCATGTCTGTCTATTAGCATTCTTGCTGTAAAGTAAATGTATGCATTTAATTTCACATTTGTTGCTCTTTTTTTATCTTTTATATAGTCCTTAACATGCCCTTTTTTTTATAGAATATTGGGGTTGAAGATAGTGGATTATGAAGATTATGAGCTTTAAAATTTAGGCTTCTTTTGGGGAAAAATTATTATGTGCAGACACCTAATGGCGTCCAAAGATCAATCAGAAGGCGTCGGTTCACTTTTTTTGCTTGGTACTGGTGCTCGGTACCACTGTGTACTGAGTGATGTGGCGCGTTCTGATTGGTCTCTGAACTGTCTAGTGTCTGCACAAAATAATTTCTCTTTTGGGATTGTTTTCTTACTATTTTTTAAATTAGTTTTGTAGCTATTAAATTAGGTTTTATCTATTAAATCATCATTGGTGAGATGATCTTAATTTTTGGATCAGAATATCCTCATTTATTTCTGTTTAGTTCATTAATTTATCGAGCTGAACATTGAAATATGAGTTAATCTATCTTTTTTGGATTTGCAGTTTTTGGTTCACATATGTCGCTGTTTTGCAACACTACGGAAAGCTGTTAACTGTTCATCTCTTTAATTTTATTATTATTATTATTAAATATTATCATAATGCTATTAAGTTAATAAGTTTATTATGAATTTAACGTTTTCTTAAAATTTTTTGTATTAAATACCCTAAATTTTCAAATATAGTTGGCCCGAATCTTGAGGCAAAAATAAAGTTGGAAATTTTAAAAATTAAAATGGAGATCATCTGAACTTAGATTTCAACAAAATTACAATTGGATTGAACGTCTTGAAAATATGAATCCAATGACGTCAAATATGACCCAATTCAAGCCCAAATGATTTCAAATTAAAAACTCAAAGCGCATTTGGAGGGTTCAAACTATAATTTGGATTATCAAATAGTTTCCAAATGTGATGTGCTTATAGTCGAATCGAGCGGCTCGACGAGACGAATCCAACAAGCTCAAGATTGTCAAATTTTGATATCATTGGAGCCTTAGAGCCTTCAAATGCCTAATAAATGGTCAACGATCAAGGGATTCAACATTGATTGTTCATTCAAACCACTCTCAATTTATCACTGATCTTTCTCCTCTTTACTTGTCATACCACTTTCATAAAATTATAAATAGACACATCATTTCTCTTGGGATGGGACCCCAAGTAAAAGGAAGAAGAGAAGAGTAGGAAGAAAAGAAAGAAAAAGATGAGAAGGAAGAGAAGACTCCTCGACCACCATCAGGCTTTCACCCGACAATCGATCGAGGCTAGAATGAAACAAGGAAGCGATAAGAGAAGGAATAAAAGAAAGAGAAGGAAGAGACTCCTCGACCACCGCCAGACATTCACCTAGCAACCGACTGACTTGAAATTAAGCAAGGAAGAAAGAAGAGCAGGAAAAAAGAAGAAGAGAAGGAAGAGACTCTTCCTCAACCACTGTCGGATTTCCACCCAATTGTTGCTGAATTCTTCCCAACTGTTGACTGGCATCGGAGTTATGCCCGACAGCCGACTGATGCTGGAATTTTGCCCGACCGTCAATTAAAGCCGGATTTTCGCCCCGACCACCAGAACGCCCTCGGATTTTTGATCTCCGTTTGTAACTGAATTTCAACCCGATAATTATAATCTGATTGTATTCAATTTCAAGGAAGAGTCAGTTAGTTGTAACTTAAACAAACACTACTGCAATCCTTTCATCTGGGCGTGGCCCCGTGATTTTTCCCTTAACAGGGTTTCCATGTAAAAATTATGGTGTTCCTTTTTATTATGTTTGTGTATTGGATATCCATACAAGGCTAAGACGAAAAAGTTTCTAACTCTATCGTCTCGTATAATATAGCCTTCAACTATAATATTTTCATTTTATAACATATGTAAAAAGTAAAAATAAAATTATTATATTTATTTTGAATATATTTTTTTTCTACTGTCTACAAAAAATCTAATAACTAAAAAGTCTTCGTGAGTAGTCAGCCTCTGGCTCTCTTACCAATGCCCATTTTAAACTAACTTTTTTATTCCTCACTTGGTAGCTGAACGATACGTTTAAAAACTCATTAAAACTTAGAACATTTTTTATGGTATTTAAAGTAATTAAAATATAATTTTTAACTTTTTTAACTGTTTAACATTTCTAATAAATAGTTTATATTTGAAAATTTAAGTCAATTAAAATAAATTTATACATATATTATATAAATTAAACTTTGGGTCATTTATCATACACAATTCATTATACATGTTCATATATGATTTATACATTTTTTAAAGTCATTGGAGGATAATTAAAATCCTTTATGGGGAAAAAAGAAGGCCATCATTTCCTCACTATTTCAAATTTTCAATTGCTAAAAAACTCTGAAAAGTAAGATATTGTGCTCAAAAGTTCATGAGTTGAAAGGAAAATTAGGCCTCTTGTGGAGTGCGATGCCCTAGCCGCCTTCCTCTCCGCTTGCGTTTTTGGCCTTTTTCCGTCCGGTACCACCGGTCTTCTGCCGGTGGTTTTTCCATGGATCTCCAAGACGCCACCTCGTTCCCCCCCATGGCACATGCATCCTCTTCCGCTGTGCCGCCCGCCCCTCGCTTGTTAGATCGTCTTTGGTCTAACATTATTGCCGCTCCTGCGCCGTCCGCTCCGCACATCCCGGTTTCTCTGATGGAAACTCCTGAGGAGGTCATTCCGTTTGATGCCGATTTTACTGGTCCTGCTGCTGCAGATTGGGAGCTTTGCCTGGTAGGGTATTCGATCGGTAAGCGTCCTTTTTATGAGGCTCTTAAGGATACTGCTACTAAGATCTGGAAGCTTAAAGGTACTTTCCAATTGATAGCCCTTACGGATGGATTTTTCTTGTTTAAGTTTTCTCTTGCTGAGGATTTTGACATGGTTTGGTCAAAAGGTGCTTGGTTTTTTCATGGTAAACCTTTTATTGTGCAAAAATGGACAAAAAAATTTAACCATACTAGGGAAAATTTTTCTTCAGTTCCTGTGTGGGTTAGAATACATAAACTTCCTTTGGTTTGCTGGAATTCGGAAGGGATATCTAAAATTGCCTCTAAGGTTGGCATACCGATTGCAGTAGACTCGTTAACAGCTGCTAAAACTAGGCTCACATACGCTAGGGTATGTATTCAAGTTTCTACCTCCTCAACTTTTCCTGAGTCTGTTGCTGTTTCCATTGAAGGGGAAATTTTTAAGCTACAGATACAATATGAATGGAAACCGGTTCCTTGCTCTATTTGTGCTTCGTTAGCACACGCCTCCACGAATTGTCCATCTGCTACTCCATCTCAGAAGATTTCTATCCCTCCGTCTAGAGGTCGCAGTTTTTCTAGGGGACAAAGGAAAAAATCTCACTCTCGATCCAAAGTTCCGACTCAAAAATTTGATAATGGGACCTCCTCCTTAGTCCATCCGCCTGCTTCACTTCAAAATCCTCCTGCTTCAGGATCAAATACTAATCTTTTTCCGTCCCAGGTGATTTGGGTCCCGAAGGGTATCTCTACAGTTAGTCACATTGCAGTGACTACTGCTCATCCTGATTCCTCTACTCAGATGCAAACTGGCATTACTTCAGCTAAAATTGTTGAACCCTTAGTTCAACCATGAACTACCTATTACCTCAACTGCTCTTGATGATAATTCAACTATCCCTAATCTCAATTCTCCTACAGATGAAGGCTTAGGGGATACCGATTTTGGTCAGGCCAGTTTACAGAACCCATATACTGTTAAAATCAGTAATAAATATTCATCTCTACTAGGCTCAGAAGACCAGACGGTTACCAATTCTGATAATGAAGGCACTTCATTCTCAGAGCAAACATCAAATACGACTGGGGGGGGGGGAAACCCAAGGCTATTAATTCAAAAAATCCTAAAGGGAAAAGCTCAAAAAAGCCTCCGTCCTCAACTTCTAAACGCAAATGATTTGTCCTAAATTAGCTGCGTGGAATATTAGAGGATTTTCCTCCTCTAATAAAGTGTCTTTCTGCAAAAACCTTGTACAGTCCTTACATCTGGATATGATTTGTATTCTTGAGAATAGAATACTTCCTCAAAGTCTTTATGACTTGAATTTCTCTAATTGTCATCTGCTTTTTGACATAGAAGCTAGTTGTCACAATTTTCATTGTGCTTCTTCAGGCCGTATTTGGATTAAGTGGTCTACTGATAGGATTTCTTTTAATCCATCTTTCTTCTCGTCTCAAATGATTGCCGGTATGGTTTCCTTTGGGTCTTCTACTCCTTTTCTGCTTTCTGTTATTTATGCTTCTAACAGTCAGGTAGAGAGGAAAGTGCTTTGGGAGGATATTAGAGCTATTTCTCCTGCTGGCAATGTTCCCTGGATCTTAATGGGGGATTTCAATACCTGTTGTTTTTCTTCTGAAAAATTAGGGGGTAATCCTCTTAATCAGAATCTTCTCAATGATATTAATAGTGTTATCTTTGACACTAATCTTAAGAATTTGGGATCTATTGGCCCCTCTTATACTTGGTTTAACCAAAGGACTGATTCTCCCATTCACATCAAGTTGGATCGAATGTTAATTAATGACCAATGGGTTTCTCTTTATCCTGATTCATTCTACTCCATCCATAGTCCATCTGGTTCTGATCACTGTCCTATTGTTCTAAACTCCGGCACCTATCATACTAAGAAGCATCATTTCTTGTACAAGAACTATTGGGGCAAATGTGAGCAATTCTGGGTTTTATTGCTAAATATTTTTGCGATTAAAGCTGTTGGTAATCCACTGGTGGATTTTGGTAATAAGCTCAAACTACTGAAAGAGAGTATCAAGGGGAAAAGGTGGGCAAATGCCAATGTTATGTATGATCATATTCAAAAGCTTCAAGCCAAACAACTTGACTGTCTCAATCTTCTTAGTGATCAGATCAATTTTTGTGATGCTTCTGTTGAGTTGAAAAATGTTAATATCCAATTAGAGACTGCCTCTTCTTTGTGGTTTTCTTGGGTTAAACAAAGAGCTAAAGCAAAATGGTTATCTCAAGGTGAAGATGATCTTAAGTTCCTATACTCTAGGATTCGTATGAGGAGAAGTTATAAACAAACTGCTATAGCTTTAGCTATGTCTACCCCTGATACTTCGGTTTCTGAAGCCATCAAAGGATCCATCTCTTACTTCCAATCTCTGTTTAATGCTCCCCATCTGTTGGATTTTGAAATTGGTGAATTTCCTCCTGGTCATGTTATTGATCTGGATTTTAGAGAAACTCTTATTGCTCCCTTCTCTGATTCTGAGATTAAAAAAACTGTCTTCAAGGGCTCTTCCAATAGTACTCCTGGGCCGGATGGGTTCAACTTTGATTTTTATAAATCTTCTTGGGTGCTTATTGGGCAGTCTGTTTGTAATGCTATCAAAGGATTCTATAATAATGCTTTTATTCCCCGCTCTATTAAAGCAACTGCCATCACTCTTATTCTAAAATCCAGTCATGCTGAATCTATTGCTGACTTTCGGCCTATTGCCCTCTGCAATACCTCTTACAAAATTATTGCAAAAATTTTGGCAGAGAGAATGAAGCCTTTTATGGCTAAAATTATCAAAGTTAACCAAGCTAGGTTTATAAAGAATAGGATTTCCATGGATAATGTCATTCTTGCCAATGAAATTCTTCAATTTTCCAAGAAATCTTCTAAAATCAAGCTCATGTGTATTAAATACGATATTAAGAAGGCCTTTGATACCCTCTGCAATACCTCTTACAAAATTATTGCAAAAATTTTGGCATAGAGAATGAAGCCTTTTATGGCTAAAATTATCAAAGTTAACCAAGCTAGGTTTATAAAGAATAGGATTTCCACGGATAATGTCATTCTTGCCAATGAAATTCTTCAATTTTCCAGGAAATCTTCTAAAATCAAGCTCATGTGTATTAAATACGATATTAAGAAGGCCTTTGATAGTGTGTCTAGACACTTCCTTCTTGCTAGGTTGGAGCAAAAAGGATTTCCTACTCTCTTCATTAAGTAGATTGAAGTTTGTATTACGGATGTTTGGTTTTCTTTGTGTATGGATGGTACCTTGGAACGGTTCTTCCAATCCTCCTCTGGGCTAAGGCAGGGTTGTCCTCTTAGCCCTTACCTCTTCAAGTATAGTTATGGATGGGTTATCATGTCTGTTGGATGGGAATTTGCAAGAGGACAGTTTTGAGGGCTTCTCTTTTGGGGATTTTAGGCTGTCCCACCTCTTATATGCTGATGATTTGATCATTTTTGGGAAAGCTGATATAGGCAACTGTAATAAGCTTACATCTATTTTAGAGTGTTTTTCCAAAGCCACGGGTCTTCATGTAAATTTTGGGAAAAGCTCTGTTATCCTTCCCTCAAACTGCAATGACTCTGAGGATATCTGCACTGCTCTTAACATTCCAGTTGCTTCTT